GGGAAGTTCGCGGGTCCCGCTAAGCGCAGGGCTCTTGCGGAGAAAACGCTGGTTCCCCCTCGCCAGATGGCCCTGTGTGTACATCGGGCGTGGGCAGGCTCCGCTGAGGTCACCTATCGCAACGCCAAGAGTCTCAAGCCCTGATCCCCGAGTCCATACACACCCTTTGCCCAGGCGGCAGTCTGTATGACCACTACCTGTCTTCCTACCGGACCAGCTTCGCGGCTGTCCTGCTGGCGCAATTTGGGGCAAAAGCCATTTCCGGAGGAAAGTCGGCAGCCACGGTCCTGGCCCATGCGCCAGGTTGGTCCATGGGAGCGGCGTGCGGCAGGGTTTCGTGTTTTGCAAAAGGTCAGTGTCTGCCTGCTCAGTTCAGAATCCGGCACAGAATCACACCCGCACAAAGTTCCCTCCCCCCACCGGATAATCAGGCACTCAAGATATGCTGAGGGAGGTGGGGCTGACGATCGATGACCTCAAAACCATGGAGCGGCATGATGCCACTTTTGCAGGCTGCTATGATGCTTCGGTATGAGCCGGGGATGAGCAGGAGTGTGACTGGCTTTCCCCAGGAGCTCAACACATCCTCATGTCCTCTTCCTAACATTCTCCTCTTCGTCAACCATCTCGTCGCAGGGTCTGTGCACCTGCTGCTTCCTACTATCGTGTCCACGCCTCCCAACCCGGGGACGAAAAGGGTCGAGCAATGGGCCCTCGTCCAGACTTGCATCGCAGAGGCCAGGCCAGGCCACATCTCCGCTGTCCAACTTTGAGGAGGACGTGACCCAAGACGCCGTCAGAGAAGTGGCCCTGGGCATCCAGCCCTTTCCGTTCGGGTCAAGGGATTTCCCTGCACCACAGCTCAACACAGTAGAAGGTCGTGTATAATAGCGGCATTCTCCTATCTGTGTGCAAGTTCTTGGAATAGGTAGTCAGGAACCACCTTCAGGGTCCAAATATCCATATGACCATCACGCATTCAATTTGTGTCGATGTATGGAGCATTTACATGCCCATACTAGTCATCGTATGTTTTTGGTGGGTTTGTATCGTATCGTTGACGTCACCCTTGACATCATCTTCAACCTTTCCTGCGGTCCGTGCTGGGGTTGTGCGATCGGTCTCTTCGATATTCCATTACTCCAGTGATACTACCGTCGATGCCTAGAATTCCTCATCTAACCATTGTCAAGTCATAATAATATTTGCTCCTGCTGTCGCACTTCCTATAAAGTGGAGCGGCCGTCTGGTGTGCTGAAAAGGCGAACACCCGAGTCGCTGTTATAGAAGGATACCCAGAAGTGCCATGGAAGGCCGTGCGCCGGACGCTGATGTCGAAGTAAACTTTGATGAGACTTCATCGGCCCATATCCCGCGCGACAAGGAGGACGTCGCCGTGGAGGGCGATGTTAAGCGTGCCGACCTGGAACACCCTAGCAACTCCGTGTCCGGCAAGGACAATTTCGAGAAGGCGTCCACGGGAATCAGCAGCTCCATATCCCCGCATTATAATCCGGACTCAGACGTCATAGTCAGGGCGGAGTGGATAGGCGAACGCTCGATGAAGGTGCGTTGTTGGAAAATGGAACATGGAGATCCAACAGCAAAGTGATGATGTGGATCCTGTGTGCATAGTAGAGCACAACCTCTTGGCTTTGGAACGTCTTGGGCTTCAAGCATGACAGTCCTGCTCAATGTCCCCCCGCCAGAATATTATCCTCTCTGTGGAGTTAGCTACGTTGGCGGGCATAGCACTTCTCTTCGTCGGGATCTACTGGAAAACGACCAAGGTGGGGAAGGACAGCAACTGCACACCAACCACTGCATTCCCGCCTGGTACCTCTTGCCGTGTGCAGCGTTCCATTGACAGCCTCCCTGGACGCCTGATCGCCCTGGCTGCCCTTGTCACGTGCAGGAGGCTGCATTCTACCTGCACATGAACACGGTCCCCTTGATCAACCTGGCCATCGGGGCGCCCTTCCTGCTCGCCCTCTTCCTCGCCTGTCTGGGCTTCATGCGCCGGGTCATACGCTCGAATCGCTCTGGCAAGAGATGGTGCGCGACTGCTGGGCCTCTCTTGGTGTGTGCTGCGGCCCGCTGCAGGCCACAGCCCTCGTCTTGAGTCCCCACCTTCCGAAAGCAGCCCAGGGCTTGGGCACCCGCTGTCTTGACCTGAGAGGCCTTTGCAATCCCTGCGCTGAGCCCATCGGCCCCCCCATCCAGGTCGCGGCGACGGCGACGGGGCGTGACCAACGCCGGAATTGAGCAGGTCGTGCAGATCATCAACCTGCTGGCCTTTGTGGTGTGCAGCGCGTACGTGGTCGACAAGGACTGTGCTGTCCTTTCCTACACCGTGATCTGGGGCGGCTTCGTGCAGTGAGTGGTGGGGCCAGGGCGGGGATGCACATGATGGGCAACCCAGCAATGTATACAGGGAGTCGGCCATGGCCTGGCGCGCCCATCTCCTGACCGCTGCCCCCACCTTGTGCACCGTTCGCAGATGGACGTGTTGGAACACCATCTTCCTGTTGCAATGGATCGGCAGTGCGTCCATCCTCCCCCTCAAGGGCACCCGCTGGGGTGTGTGGACTGGGTGATTTCAGAAGGGCTGTCTTTTGTGCTCGGTGCTGTGTCCGTCTGTGTTCCCTCTGCGCAGGGTTGCTGGGGTTATCTGGAGCGATCTACACAGGTTTGCCTAAGGACACTGATGAGGTCGTCCCTCCCCCCCCCAAACAATCCACCATTCTGCAGAGCACTACAACACAGCCAGGGACGCCATGGCGATGGACCTGCCATATGGCGCACACTGGCGCAAGCTGTTGCTCTGGGCCGTGGTCCAGGGCCTCATCATCGCCACTGGCATCATCTTCAGTAGAGAGATTAGCCATGCTGTCGGTGGCATGGAGAACGGCATGTGCCCAGGGGAAGCCACCAACTGCCACATCCCATGTGAGTACATGGCGCCTGCCACTCGGGGAAGGGTGTCTGTGTGCTGGTAGGCAAAGATGGTATCTAACGGGGGACCAGGAGCATTGTTTTGTTCTGGAGCCGTGGCCTGGAAAGCTTCGCAGGCGCTTGCAGACGGGGTGTCTGGACCTCATGCTTAACTCCATGCATCTCTGATCTCACTGGGTGAACTCCGTACGCCCTTGCAGCTCACTTGGTCGTGCTCATGGTGCTCTGTAGCGCGGGGATCATGGTGTATCAGATTGTCTGGATCTGGAACATCCGCCAGGGGTTCATCTTCCTGGCTGGGCAGCCCTACAACGAATTCCGCATGGGTAATCAGATCATTCGGCTGCAGGTGTGGTCAGTGAGGGGTTGAGGTATTGTGTTTGCAAGCAATGGGAGACCTAGATAGGGGTGAACCTTGAATGAATGGATCTTTCTGGCTGCCTCGGCATCCATGGCAATGTGTGTGTGTGTGTGTGTGTCTTTTGGGAGGGGTACTCCGCCTTTAGTAGGCCGAAAGAGTATGGCTGAGTGAGTGCCCGTGACAAATGGTCCGCGCCATGCATGGCTCACTTCCACTCCCGGCTCTCTCCATCCAGGTCCGGCTTCGAGGCCTGGCCATAATTGTCTTCATGGCTTCCATGATCATCTACACGTAGGATGAGGAGGGGTTTGGGCAGCATGAGGGACGTTCAGTCCTGTATATTGCGGAATGTATTGGATGCCGCAGGCACATGATGGTGCCTGTCGATTCAGCAGTGTCCTCCCTCTGCTGCCCTCACCTTCCTCCTCCTGCCTCCATGCCTTTTCTCAGATTCACAGACATCAACTCATGTGGCTCCCTGCTGCTGTCCTGGCTGGGGTACCAGCCAATGCAGGTCGGTGGGTGGAATGGGGGAAGATTCTTCACTCCCTGATGAAGCTTGCTCTCAGAGCAGCTGCTTGACCATGTCCTGACAATTTGTATGGACCCTGGTGCATGGTGGGGGGCAGGGCATGCATTTCATGCCACTCTTTGCTTTGAATCACTCAACGGTGACTCCACCTTGCCCACCGGCTCAGATCGTGATGACGGCCATCGTCCTCGCCAACACCATTCTCATGACGCCAAAGCGGCCTGACGCAGGGGCCATCCTCGGGGTAGGAAGAGTGTTGGTTGTGTGTGACCGGGAGAATGGGAATCCTGAAGGCAGGACCCGCTTGGAATAATGTCTGGAAACCTAACTGCATACCTGTCCAGTGCCATCCCTGCAATCTCAGTGCTTCCAGGCCTTCGCATTCCCTGCCGCATCTGCCACAGGTGTGGCTCCAGGAGTTTGCCTGGACCGAGCGAGACATCGAGAACAAGAAGGAGGAGCGCAGCTCCTCCCTGCCACCTGGCACGGACACTGAGCAGCTGAATGCAGAGCCCATATGGTGCTTTGAGGTGCGTGTGGGTAGGAGTGTGGGCATGGAATTCCGTGGCACCCCAGGTGTCAAGGGGGTGAAGGGTTTGTGCGGGGTAAGCAAACTCACTTTCCTTCTCTCCCCCCATACACAATCTTTCCAGACGGCCATCAAGCTGATATACTGGTGCTTCCTATGCTATGGTACGTGGTGAGGGGCAGTCAGGGTGTGCCAGCATGCCTCTGTGTCGTGGCGACAGGCATGTGTCGACTCTGGTCGCCACCTCTCGCTTCAGCTGCACCGACCGCATCCTTCCCCTGCACATCTCCATGCTGAAACAGACTACGAGGAGAACAAGTCCAAGGCAGCGTACAGCGTAGACACGGCGCTGTCGCTCTACGACCTCCATTCGTTTGAGATGCTGTGGGAGGAGGAGATGGTGAGACCCTGGGGATGAGTGTGCAGGCCTGCAGATGAGGGGGTGCCCGATTGTCTCATCTTGTCTACTACCTCATGCTTGCCAATGCGTCCTGTCCCAGGACACCAAATGCCTGATTGGCTGGAACGACGACACCATGGTCATCTCCTTCCGCGGCACCGCCAGCATGGCAAACGTCGCCTCGGACCTCAAGGTGGGTGGTGCGGGGCCGCTCTGGGAGTGTGCATGGCTGCAGCCACATGCACCGGCAGTGTTGTGCCCATCCCCAATGGCCTCGCTGCGTGTCTTCGGTTCTCCCCTCAACCAGTCGCCCCCCTCTGCCTCCCCACATCACCCTTCTCCTCAGGTCTGGCGCAAGATCTGGCCCAAGAACATCAGCACCAAGCGGTGCTGGAAGCTGGGCGGCGTCCCGCGCGTGCACTCCGGCTTCTACCATGCCTACACCGCCAACGGCTTCAACTTCCAGCTGATGAAGCGTCTCAAGTCGTTGCTCCTCCGCCTGTCCAAGGACAACCCGGGGAAGCGGGTGCGGGTGTACGTCACAGGCCACTCCCTGGGCGGCGCGCTGGCCACGCTGTGCGCCTACGACGTCATGACGCACTGCCAGATGAACCACGCCGAGCACTACGAGGTGTCGTGCTACACCTTTGGCGCGCCACGCACGGGCAACCACGCCTTTGCCAAGCTCTTCGCCAGCGTCGTGCCGGACACGTGGCACATCATCAACAGCGACGTGAGGCCTCTGCTGTTGTGTGGGGGGAGGGGGCCATGGGGGGTTGGAGCCTGGAAAGGTTCTACACCGTCACCCGCCCTTCCAAAGACTGCGCGGAGGGGGGGGAGCGGGTGTGTCGGACCAGAGGGATCACGTGTGCCGCGCTGCCGACCGTGCATCAGCTGTGCTCAGGCCCCTGCTCCCAACCCACCCCGACAGGACACGGTGACGCGCGCCGGCAAGTTCTTCTTCCTGTACAAGCGCGGGGGCCACCGCGCGATGATCAACCCGCGGGGGGACCTGCTGGTGCGGCCGCCGTACGTCGAGCAGTTTGTCCATCGCATGCCTGGAAGTAGGTCCATTGGCGTGGATGCTCGGGGAGGGTGGCAGGGAGGCTGGGGTTGGAGAACAGGGTCAGACGGCAGGCCTGGTGTGATACCGCCGTCGTGTGTCCTGATGAGCATGTGCTCAATGGCCAGCGGCGCAGAGCAGGTGCCCAGGCCCACATGCGACTCGTGGCCTCTCGTCCAGCAGATCCTCCTCCCACAGCAACTCGACCCTCTCCGCCATGCGCAGCCGGCAGCCTGCGCGACCACTACCTGACGTCCTACCAGCGTAGCATGATGGCGGTGCTGGCCGCCCAGTTTGGCCGCAAGTCGATTATGGGTGGGAAGGACGGCGTGAGGAACCTGACGCAGACTGCAGGTGCGCCTGGGCTGGGTGGGGTGGGCTTCAATTTTCCAGGGACCGTGGAGTGACGTGCGACTGACCAGAGTCCATGTGCAGGAGCAGGACAGATTTCCGAGCTGGCGTGTTGCCGCACACACCGTTCCTTGGTCTTCCCTCATGCGATCCTTCGTGCCTGCCCCCGACAGGCACGCGGGCGGTGCTGGAGAAAGCTGGCCTCACCTGGGCAGACTTTGAGCGGCTGGAGAGGGAGGGGCTCAGCGCCGGGCTACGCAGCACGTCTGGCCTGGTCGATTGCTCCTGCGGCAATGTGGTGCGTGGAGGGGTAGGAGGATCCCGGTGAACAGCCAGATCTTGAATCCTCCTCTTCCTTCAGAGTTGGTGGTGGGTCCCCTGGCGGACATGGAGTTGCCTCATCCCATTCGTGTTGATGCCTGGGCATCTCCGTAACATTCCCTGCCTCTGCGACCAACCTCCCACCACTCCTCCAACCCCCTCCCCTCCCCCCAAACAGTCGATCCCAAGCTGGCCGCGGCAGTGGGTCGAGGCCTTCAAGCCCTGCAAGCGAGCGCGGGAGGCGGCCACCCGCCCCGCCCCGACCCAGGACACCGCCGTGGCCACCGCTGACCTGGAGTCGGGCGGGGAAGTGCTTGACCCCGGTGACGGCGAGGTGTGTGTCTGGCCCCGCGCGATCAAGACGGAGCAGCGGTACAGGATGCGTGCGTGCCAAGGGAAGGAGGCCAGCACCGTCTGCACCGCCATGAAGAGCTTCCGGATGAAAGGAAAGCGGGCGCAGTCCACCTGGTGCGACACCAGCGTGGAGGGAGGCACCGCGGCGGAGTCCATGGGCGATCTACAGGCCGCTGACGTGCCGGCCGAGGAGAGCATGGACAGGGAGGAGGTGAGTGATTTTGACTGAGGGGGAAATGTGTGCAAGGAAAACCGGTTGTCTCCAAAAGGTGCTGGCAAACAAGGAGGGGGAAGTATGCGGAATCTGGAGTCCCCACGTGACCAGTTCTGTGCTTGGTGCCTCTCTGCATATTCAACCGCTCTATACAGACCAATGAACTGCATGGTGGCGACGGAATCGAATCTCTCGCCTCCTGATTGTATTCTCTGCAGGTAAGCGAACCTGCGGGCGCAGATCTGGCAGACCTGGAGGACGTGGACTACACCTTCATCTCCGCTGCTGGCGATGACCGGGCGCGCATGTGCAGCTTCATCATGAAGCGATGACGTTGAGGGGGAAGCAAACATGACTTCACTCAATCCAGCAATACTTGTGTCCTTCAATGGTCGATTGATATCCAGCAGGGAAAGACCTACGCCTGCTGCATCCCCGGATCTCACAGGCTGCACTGTCCAGCGGAGCTGGCTTCTGACCCACACCAGACTGCGTGTCCTATGGCAGGTTGATTTATATTGTCTCTTCAACGCAGACGCATGCATACCCGGCAAGGTACCTTTTTCTCCTACTGTTCGAAGTATCTGAATGACGCCATCAAGGGTTTGAAGTGACGTAAGATCTGGCGACCCCCACAGAACGCTGGTTCCCTTCAGCGTCCGCGTGAGAGTGGCACAGCTCGACTTTGTAATTCCCTTCTAATGTAGTTTACCGATCTCTGGCTGCATGGAGGACGCACGAGGCATGGACGGGAGGGCGGATGGTCTGGACACCGCCTCGTCTATGGAGTCGGGCACCTTCTCCGAGACGCCACACAGCGAGAGCGGGTCATCGGGGAGGTTCAGCGTCAAGTGCCCTCATTACAATCCGGATGAGGATGTCATCACCCGCACCGAGTGGATCCAGGAGCGGGGCATGAAGGTGCGTTGTGGCGACCACCGGAGTGGCCCGCGGGATGCGCACCGGCATATATATCCTTTTGCCAGACCCTCACTTCCTCGCCAACATTGCCTGCACTCAGGTCAGCATCGTGGGAGTTCAGATGGGCAACATCGCGAGTCTGGTGGTCCTGTCGGTGGCGCTGTACTGGAAGGTCAAGAAGGTGAGCCTTATGAGAATAGGTGCTGCACTGTCACAATGCAGTCGCAAGCTGCTGCAGCAGGTTGTTACGGCCCCAGATAACCCCTCCCACACCTCTGTCTTAGGATCAAAGCTTCTACCTAGAGGGAAATGACGTGCCAAAGATGAATCTGGGATTTGGCTGCGCCTGTTTACTGGCAGTTGGCGGCGCCTTGATGGGGTTCCTTCGACGCGTGTACCGCTCTTACAAGTGCAAAAAGCGATGGTGGGAGGGGGATGGTGAAGCTGCTACATTCTTTGCTGGTCAGGGGGTGAATTGACTGGACTTGCCTATCTGCTGTGCTGAGGTTGTTTGCCATTTGTCATCCACGGAGCAGTTCCTTGCATGTCTCCTGTCCCATGAGCCAAGGCCCTCATGTCACTCCTACTTCCTGCATATCATTGCCGTCAGCCAGTGGCCGTTCCTGCTCCCTTACTTATTCCATGTTCAGGTCCCCCAGACGTAAGACTGCAGTGACGCTGTCCCTCTTGGAGCAAGTGGCACAGTGTGTCAACCTCATCGCCTTCATCACCAGCAATGCTATCGCCGTGCAGCGCACCTGCGACGTCCTTTCTCCCTTCACCATCTGGGGCAGCTTTGTGCAGTGCGTAGTGGGGGCCATGGGGCCGGTCAGCTCTACCTTGAGTCTCTCCTCGCATGGCCTTGGCAATCAACTCTTGCGTACCTGATCCGAAAGTGCGGCCCCAGCTGACGCGCGTCTGCAACGACCGAGGGCACATGAAACCCGCCATTCCCACATTCCATCTGTGTGCAGGTGGACTTGCTGGAATGTCCTCTTCTCAGTGACATGGCTGTATGCCTTCACCCTCGGGCCGACCAAGGGAACCCGCTGGGGTGAGGACCAAAAGGCTTCGTCTGGGATCTTGCTATGTGCGGGTTCCCGACAAGCACTCTACATTCCTGTCACATGGGCGCATCTGTACTCGTCTGCAGCATAAATTATTTCAAACAATGCATCTTCTCCCCTTACCTCCAGCCTCATGCCAAGCATCCTGTCACATGCATGTCCACAGAGAACGACGTGAAGCGTGCGGATGCCCTGCTGGCCGACCTCCCTCTCTGGAAGCAGTGGCGCAAGCTGTGGCTCTTCGTCATCATGCAGGCCCTCATCGTCGCCGCCACCACCCTCTTCCTTCAATTTTTCAGCACGGTTGCATTCGAGGCCTGCCCGGGCGCAGACTCCGACTGCCGCATGCCAGGTGATGAGGCGATGCAAAAGTTGACGGGGTGCAAGGCAATTCTGCCTCCAGTCCTGTACAAGGCGCAAACTGTCAGGTTGGCAGTCCATGCCTGCTGGCCAGAACAGGAATATCTAGCTGAAGACCCTTCCTTCATACCCAACGTTCGCAGCTAGGGTCGCTGCAATGGCCATCACCCCCCCATCATTCTTCCTCGTCTACCTCGTCTTCATCCTTCACAGCCTGTTCAAATCCTACGCGTTCTTCAACTCCCAGCCCTACAACCTTTACCAGATTGGCAATCAGATCCTGCGACTGAATGTGCGTGGAGCAAGCTGTGTGCTGTGGCCACCGGCCACCCGAATGCGCCCTCACTGTCTGCTTTGCATGGATTCAAGCTCAAGTTTACGAATCCCCCCCCACCCCTTTGCAGACAAGGCTCAGGTCCCTGTTTGTCGTAGTCATCCTCCTCACCCTCATTGTGTACTCGTGCGTGGGGAAGGCTTGTTAGGGGGCCCAGTGTCCATGATGTCACATGGGCTGTGTCTGTGCAGCACTAGTTAAATACAGTCCTCCTTGATCATCGATTCCCCCCCCCTCAAATCTCCAATGCGCACAGCCTCATCGATTATGACACCTGTGGCAGCATCAATCTGGCTTCCCTCGGCTATCTTCCCATGCATGTAAGGATTACACTGGGCATGCTATTGGAGGCTTGTTGCATGGTCCATCAAGCCAGGAGCAATGGCAATGAGCCTGGGTGAACTCCATGTCCCTTGCAAGGCTCACCCATGCTTGGCCCCCTCCTTTCCCCCCTGGTCACACCAGATTGCAATGTCGGTCGTGGTGGTCGTGCAAGCGTACCATGCAACCCCCAAACGTCCCAGTGACGCCTCCATCCTCAGAGTGAGCAAGGGGATCCATGGTCCAGAGCGTCCCCGGGCTTAACCCATGCAGATTCAATTCTGCCAGTGCACATGGGGCCCACCCTTGAATCCCTATCAACACACAGGTGTGGCTCCAGGAGTTCTCGTGGACTGAGGGGTCCCTGGAGGCCAACAAGAAGGAGCGGAGCTCGTCCCTCCCTGCCAGCGCAGCCGGTCAGGCTCGTGAGCTGGATGCAGAGCCCATGTGGTGCTTTGAGGTGAGTCCAGTGGTGTTTGTGTGGGCAGCACCGTGAGCGGGTTGGCTGGGTGCTGGTAGGATGGCTTGTCGTGCGTCGCCCATCTTTCCTTCCTCATGCCCCTTGCCAACAGACGGCGATGAAGCTAAACTACTGGACATTCCTGTGCTATGGTATGTGCCCTTGCAGTACGGACGCTTGAGTTTGGGAGAACCCTGTCGCTTGGTCAGACCTGTCGGTTGTCATGTGAATCCACATGAAGTTTGTGCCTCCCTCATCTTCACCTCACTTCCAGACTACAAGGAGTTGAACTCCAAGGCAGCATACAATGTTGACACTGCGCTGTCCCTGTACGACCTGCACTCCTTCGAGATGCTTTGGGAGAAGAGCCTGGTGGGTGGAATGTCGCTTGACGAGCAGGAGGGCGTCGGGACACTGGCAGCGTTGATTGCGTGGTGTGGGGAGGAGGGGCGGGAACGTTGTCCGTCCCTTCTGGTCGCAGCCAGGCAGACCAGAACGACAGCCACACATGGGGTGTCTCTGTTGGTCCCGCTGCCCACCCCTCGACCTGCCCCCCTTGTCCAGGACACAAAGTGCCTCATAGGGTGGAGCGACCGCACCCTGGTGGTGGCATTCCGCGGCACTGCCAGCATAGCCAATGTTGCCTCTGACCTCCAGGTGCTCCCTCTGGTCTGTGAGATGTGGGTGTGGGTCAGGGCATCACTCACCCGCGACAAGCCAGCTGTGCAAGAGGCCCGCTCACGCGCCGCTGCCATGCACACCCCGAGCTCCCTCACGCCCACCCCTCGCAGGTGTGGCGCACCCCCTGGCCCAAGGCCCCCGGCCACAGAACACTGCTGGGGGCGCTGCGGGGCAGGGCCCGCGTGCACGCCGGCTTCCTGCAGGCGTACCGCGTGAATGGCTTTGATGCGCGCATCAAGGAGTGCATCGCCGGGGTGCTGGCTGGGCTCCAGCCAGACTGCGCCGGTCGGCCCATCAAGGTCTACGTCACTGGCCACAGGTGAGGTGCGGGGCAACTTTGGCTGCTCTGGGATCTGCCAGACCCTGTGCATGGCTGGAAGTGGGGGTGGGGCATCGCCGCCGGATGCACAGGGCCGATGGCCCTGCCAGGATGTGGCGAAATTCAAGGGTGCCTTGCACATTCGATGCCAGGCTCCATTGCCTTTGGCACCCTTCCTCCGGGCCCCCTTTCCACTGATTCACAGTCTCGGTGGGGCGCTGGCCACGCTGTGTGCGTACGACATTGCAGTCTGCGAGAGGCTGTCCGGGTCGGTGGACGTCAGCTGCTACACCTTTGGCGCGCCACGCACCGGAAACCATGTCTTTGCGGAGCTGTACACGCGTGCTGTGCCAGACACGTGGCACATCATCAACAACGATGTGGGGACTGGAGCTGCCAGCGTGTTTGTGGGGAGGGGGGTGATGCATTGCTCATGGGTGAAGCCAGCCCCCGAGGTCGCCCCTGCCACACCTCCACCCTGTGACCACTGAGGAGGGCGACGGGTCGCCTCGTGCTCTGGCCGCTGCTCATCCCCTGGCCGTCATCTCCCTACCAAGGCTGTACCTCCACTGCAACTCACCACAAACTCGCAGGATGCGGTGACCCGCAACGGCAAGTTCTTCATGCTGTACAAGCGGGCAGGCTTCCGCGTCCTCATCAACGCCCGAGGGGACTGCATCGTCAGGCCCAACTTTGTGGAGCAATTTGTGCACCGTGCCCCAGGAGGTGCGTGGTGTGGAGCTGTCAGTGTGGCCCCGGGGGTGACGAAAAATGTCTGTAGGCTCTATGCCCCTCCAGAAGTGGGACTGGTTGCTCGGCATGGGGCCCCCCATGTTCCAGGGACCTCCTGCTGTCGTGTCCCTAACATCCTGTCGTATGAGTCACGGGCTGTCCACAACTCCTCCACAGGAGGCAGCCTGGCTTCGCACTTCCTGACCTCGTACCAGAAGAGTCTGGTGGCCGTGCTTGCTGCCCAGTTTGGAAGGAAGTCGCTGGTCGGCGGCAAGCAGGCCGTGTTCATGCTCACCAGCACCGCAGGCAAGGCTTCATCATGTGAAAGGGGCGTTTAGAGGCTTCATATAATGTGTTTGCAGCTGCTCTGGTTCAAGCCAGCAGCACCAGCAAATATGTGAGAGCCGAGAGCACATGCTGGATCTGACACCCGGCTGGAGTGTTGATCCCAGCTGCCCTGTCCATTTGGCCTCTCTCAGGAACGTGTGCCGTGCTGAAGCAGGCGGGCCTGCGCTCCGAGGACCTCGAACGGCTGGAGTCTGAGGGTCTCAAGGACCCTTCCCTCGACGAATCGTGCTCTGAATGCTCCTGCATGGAACTGGTGGGCTGGTGTGGATGGACTGGGAGCATGTCGAGGCCGACGTGCCTGTCCAAATCCATGAGAAGACTGCCACATGTTTCATTCGATCCCTGGTGCAATGTCAATCGAGTGCATGGCAACCCTCAACTTGCCCTTATCACCGTCAATTACCCCTTCCCCCCATTCTCCCTCCATTCCACCTGCAGCACGTGCCTTCCCCGCTGCGGTGGTGGCAGGGCCCGCGCCGGGCGCGGCGGGTTGTCGCGCGCACTGGCCAGCCCGACTGCTCTGGTGGGGACGTGGAGGTTGGGGGCGGGGACGGCCTTGCCATCAAGCATGAGGTGCGGCTGAATGTGCGGCCCCCGCGCCAGGGGTCCATGGGCGGCCTCATGCGCTGGTCCAGCCTGCGCACCAAGCTGGGGCGCAGGTCTTCGTCCCAGGCCAGCACCCCGCCCGAGCCGCAGGAGGTAGGGGGGACGTGGGGTGGGTTGGGCGGATCGGTTGGGTGAGGGGGCGTCGGGAGGCAGCTGCAGGGGCCTTCCAAGTCCCTGCTGTGGCACTGTCCTCCACATTCAACATGATGAGACAAGATCATCTGGCCATCCCCACCTCGCGCCATGCAGAGCCCTGGGGCTGGGCTGGAGGCCACCTACTCAGGGCCCCTGGCACAGGTCCGAGAGGACCCCATGGACCTCTCGGTGGTGGGGGACCTCAGGCAGCGGTCGTTGATCGTGCTGGGGTCTCACCCAGCTAAGCAGCTCAGGCTGCGGGTGCCCCATGCAGGGCAATGACTGTCTTCCTACTCTTCAGTCTGCCAAAACGTTGTGTTGTCGACATTCTCTTGTCTACACCAATCCATACTCTACACCTTGGGATATGCGGATGAATACGAACTCAGATGTCTTTGGGACCATTTCTCATGGGTGGTTCCGTTTCAGGACCAACCAACTTTCTTGAGTTGTTTGACCCAGCTCCCTTATAGTTGTTGCACCTCTCCTTGCCCTCTCATCTCACAGCTTCCTTACGGTTTCTGATTTACATTTTTTGGCGCCTGCTGCTCCTTGTACATGGTGGTGAAAAGCAGTACGGAGGCCAATTCAGACTTCACTGGCATGTGTCACTGGCAATCCTCCATTTCATGCTTAGACCACAAATATTCACCCAGGGGCCTGTTCAAGCAAGCGGCGTGGACGTAGATGTCTACAGTCCACTGTCTTTCTTTGAATTCGCCATGCATGCCAAAGCTATAAGAGTATACACGATCTTGCATCATACCTCCCTTGCCTCCAACCGCTCAGTTCGCGCGCGCTCGTGTCGGCCGTGACAGCTGGGAGAAATCCGTTAAATTTTCCGAGAGTGCATCGGGGGAAATGTGCGTGCCATACTTGTGGCGAGAAAGTGTCGCACTACCTTCGCGTGCATGTTATAATCGGAAATTCTCGCCGCAAAATGTCCAAGTACGCTGTGGACTGGGAGGAGCTGGTGGCAGCCCTGAAGGGTGCTCCCAAGCACCAAATATTCCTGCCTTCCGTGGTCGGTCTGGCCATCGTGTTGCTGACTGTCATCGCATTCAGCGCCCTGACGTCCAAGAAAAAGTCCGCGCGGAAGGGTAAGGGGCCCAAGTCCCCCGCTGGCACAATTATTGTGGACGGCGTTCGGAGGAGCACTCGGTGAGAGAAGGGCGCCGCACCTGCTCATGATCGGGCCCTGGAGAAGCCCGCGAAGCCCTTGGAACATTTCAGGGATGTTAAATACGCCATCAATGCCAACCTGCCCTTCCCTTGTCCCCCAGGGCGCACCGTGCTCCCGTGAGTGACGACTTCCTGTCGCCCATCACAGCCAAGGTGTGGGTTGCTAGCTGGTAAAGGCAGCAAGTTCCAGTACAGTCTCATCACGGTGGCGTCCTTGCCTTCCTCTCTCCAACTTCGACCTGCATGGTCCAAATTCTAGCCCATTCCTTCATGAATTCACGCAGAAGACAGAGTCCAGGGGCGCCTCCACCCCGGCGGGCAGCGCCAGTGCCTCTCCCAGCCCACGCAAGCGTCCCAACAGGGCAGCTGCCGTTTCAGAGACCGCCGCTGCCACTCCGCGACGCAGCACACGGCGAAGCACACGCGAGCTGTGAGGGGCGGGCGGACGAGTGACTGAGCGGGCTGTCCCCCACCCCTTCCTCGCCCCCCTGACTGGTCTGTTGCCCAGGACCCCACAGACCATGCCTCACACACGACAGGCCTGACCGACCACATGACGTCTCTCATGCTCGACATGACCCTCACTGACCCTGCCGCCTTGCCTTGAAACAACTGGCATGCTATATACAGCGTCAGCAGGCAACCGGGCTCGTGGTCTTGCTGTGGCTGTGGCGCAGGCCCCATGCATCGGGGAGCAGAAACAGCTCGTCATGGCCGTGCCATTTTGCGGCGCATGCGGTAGACGTCCGCCCCCGCCGCGCCCCCCGCCGCGCCCCCCGCCGTGTGCCCGTACCCCTCCTCCTCCCCGCTGTCGCTGCCGTAGTCGGGCTTGCGCTTGGGCGCGGGCGGCTGCATGCCGGCCGGCACCGCGCCGCCGGGGCCGGCGGCGAACCCCGGCGCCGCGGGGTTGCCGTAGGCCTCCGCCTCGCGCTGCGCGCGCTGCCGCCGCCGCTCGCGCGCCGCCGCGAACTCGTGCGCGTCGATGCCGGCGGGTGAGTAATCGTTGGCCATGATCACGCTCAACACCTGGTCCACGTCGGGGGTGGGGCCGTCCACTGCAGAGGGGTCGATTCATTATTGGGGCTGGGGGTCTGCTGGTTACCCGTGAAGTGCATCGTTGACTCTTTGGGCACTCCCGATGCCCAGGAATGTGCGAAAGAGTGGTGCTCCAATGGAAAGAACAGGCCCTCCCCTTGCTGTGGAAGGAAGCACCACCTCGCAGGCTCCCCTTGGAACCCGGGCCCGGTCCACAGGCATGGGACAACCAAAGACAAAGAGAGCAGGAAAACACCCCCCCCCCCCCCCCCGGAAAAACTTGCCACTCACGTGCGTGGGCAGGCGGCAGGTCGCGGATGAATGCCTGGAGCTCGCGCGGCAGGCTCCGCGGACCCTCTGTCGCCCGGCTCGGCGAGGCGGGGCGGGGCGCGGGCGACGCCCTGTCGTGGCCGCGCGTGCGGGCCGCGCTTTCCCCTCCAAACGCGCCATGCCTCGTCCCCCGGGGAGGGACCCCGCCATCCTCGTCCGAGCTGTCGGCGTCGGAGGGCGCCGGGGCGGCGTCGCCGCCGTCGCGCTCGCCCAGCGCGGCGCGCCAGCTGGCGGCCGCGTCGGGGTGCACGGGCAGCAGGCCCAGCGCGCCGTACTTGAGCCCGGCCTCGGCCACCGCCTCGGCGGACGCGGGGCGCGGGGGTCCGAGCGCGGCCAGCGCGACGCGGCGCCGCTCCTCCACGCCGCGCAGCGTGCCCAGCGTGCCGGCCTCCGCCTCCAGCACCAGGTACGCGTCCCACAGCGGGCGGCCGCGCTCGGCAGGCATGGCGGGCAGCGCCCGCTCCAGCAGCGCCCGGGCGTTGGCCACGTCCCCCAGCCCTGCACCGGGGTCGCAGGGTTGTGTGGGCCGCGGGTTTTGTGGCGGGCGGGTGGGCGGCATGCGGTCGGCAAGATCGCCAGTGAAGGATGTTGAAATGTACTCCCGGGCCCCTCAACCCCTTGGCCACCATGTCCTTACCACCCCCCTCCCCCCCCGGGGGGCCCCGCCGTCCTAAAATCCTCACCTCTGAGGAAGGCAAGGTAGTGCAGGACGTACCCCGGCTCCGCCAGGTGTCGCTCCAGCCCCAGCTCCAGGATCTTGCGCGGCACGGTGTCCACCCCGCCCGCCGCCGCCCACTCCAGGTCGGCGCTGGCGGCAAAGGCCTGCCAGCCCAGGCCCTCCCAGCGCCGTGCGCGGAGGAAGGCCTTGCGCGCGGCGGTCAGGCTCTCCGCCCGCGCGCAGAAGCGCAGGTACTGCACCCAGGCCAGCGTCCCCTGGGCCTGGTCCAGGCCCAGCCCCTTGGTGTCGTTGTCACTTTCACCCGCCCCCGCCGCGTCGGGCCCCAGCCCCGCCACGGTTTCCTCGTGTACGGCGCGCGCGTCGTTCAGCGCGCCGCGCCGCTCGTGCGCCTCCGCGGCCGCCAGGTGCAGGGCCAGGGAGGGCGGCCCGGCCGCGCGCCGCGCGGCGTCCAGCACGGCCAGCGCCGCGGCCTCGCCGCCGCCGCCGCTGCCGCGCGCGTGCCAGGCCGCGTAGGCCAGCGCCAGGTCCGGGTGGGCGGGGTGCAGGGCCAGGGCCTGGTCGTGGGCCAGGCCCACGCGCGCGGCGAGCGTGGCCGGGTCCAACGCCTGCGGGTTGGACGCCTCCCAGGCCAGCCACTCGCGCGCGGCGGCCAGCGCGGCGGCCGCCACGCGCGGCCGCCGCGACCGCCCCGGCGGCGCGGGGAGCGCGTGGTGCGCCAGCCGCCCCGCCAGCGTCGCGCGCTGCGTGGAAAGCGCGCGCGCGGCCTGCCAGCGCGGGCGCCACTCGTCCACCGCACGCCGCCCCAGCGCCTTGTTGGCGCCCGCAAGCTCAAAGGCCTCGTAGGCGGCCCACAGCGCGTCCGAGGCGGGGCCGGGCACCAGGATGGCCTTCTGGAAGGCACGGCGCAGGGCCACCATCCGCGCGCTGTCCTCTTGCGAGGCGTCGGCGCCGCCGAACAGCGCCGCCAGCTCGGGCGAGCCGAGGCGTGGGGCCTGGGGTGTCAGAGGTGCGCCGAGACTTGGGTTGGGTCTTCGTGGTGGAGGGGGGCTTGAACCATGACCCCTTCCCACACCCGCGAGGCGACCAGTGCGTGGGAGCATCAGCCCCTCCATGAAGGCATTGTGCAGACTGGGGAACTGGGCAACCAGGCACTCAACGGGACCGCGTGATCCCAAGCCCCACTGACCACTCCAGTCATCTCTCCCAAGAACCAAACAAGACCAACAGCACCCCCACCTGCAGGAAGGCCACGTAGTCCTGCCAGATGGCGCCAGACCCCACGTCCTGGCCCAGGCGATCCAGGGTGTACTCGAAGGCCTGGCGCACCTCGCCCAGCCCGGCAGCGCCGCGCTTCTCGTTCACCTGGGTGGAGTTGGAAAAGGGGAATGGCGTTGTTGCAGAGGGGGGCAGGCGCTCCATCCATTCCCACGCCCCCAACTCTTTTGCGAGCTGTGAGCGATTACCAACAACCTGTCAGGCCACCAGCCGACATCCCTACACACCCACCCACGCACCCGACGGACGAGCTGGAGGTACGACCGCCACAGATCGGTGTTGGGGCACTGCAGCAGGCAGCGGCTGTACACCACTTTGGCGGCGTTGTTTCCGCCGTGGCCAACCTCGAACTCGGCAAAGTCCTTCCAGTACAGGGCCTGCGCCGAGTGTGGGGCGCCCGCGAATCGTCTGTGCCTGGCTCAGTGACATCGCTGTGAGATCCGCGAACATATCAAGATCCCTGCTGCCCTGATGGGTCCATCGTGCCACCCTTACCGCTGTTGGGAACTCTGCAAGCAAGGCCTCGTATGCTTCGCGCACTGCTGTGACATCCTTCTGTGTCTTGAGTTCATCTAAGAGATCGTCCCATGCATCCTGGTCGTATGGATCGGCCTGCACCCTGGCCCGCAAGGAGGTGGCACGGTCGCTCCCCCCCATCGCTGTCGACAGCAGGCTCCGCCACCAGCACAGGCTCTACAGCATCCACGCAGCACCCATTTTCGTCGTGTTACTGTACTGGGAAGCGAAGCACACAGGAGCTGTGCCCTGGCAGGGAGGATGCAGGGGCGCGATATGCACCACTTCCCGCCCCAGTGGGGCGCCCGTCGAATCGATTCTCTCTTGGCTCCAAATTTGGCCGGGCTTGGGCAACGGATCGTGATTGATTCGTACATACAATTGAGAATGAAACAAGGAGTTTTGAGCTCCCAGAACCATCAGGCACCCCTCCATAATGTACATCCGGCCACCCAACCTGCACTCATGGGCTGCCAGGAACCACCACAGGCTGGATCTCCTCTGGCCCTTGGTCCAGCAGAGGAACGGCTTCCATGTCCACCTCCCCCGTCGTCACGCGAGACGGCAGGGCGCCGGCCCTGGTCACCCCTGCCTCTTCTGGCGGCGTAAGGGTGGCGGCCAAGACCAGCAGTGCCGCGCCTGCCGTCGTCAGCGCCGCCACCAGGTGCCAGTGCCAGTGGTTGAGCAGGGCCCTGGCCTGATCAGCTCTCAGCAGGGGCTTGAAGAGTTGCATCTGCTCCTCGCTTGCCTGTGCATGCGTTGGGTGGTAGCTGGGGCTGTTTACTTGTCCGTGCTCTACCTTGTACACTGAGCTGCACGTGCAACATCACGCATGAAGGGAACTACATGAAGGCAGAGGACCCATCCCAACCACACGAAAGGTCGACTGGTCAGCCAGAAAATTCAGGTACCTCCGGACCCTGGCGCAGCTGCACCCCGGCATAATGCAGCCCCAGGCACTTGGTTTGAAAGCTACAATCTAGATGCCTCGATCGACCCATCCCCACTGACCTCTGATGCCTCGTCCGCCCAGAATATGGGCAGGTAGGTGGGTGTCACCCCGCCGTCGATCGGCTTCCACCTGGGCCCAAACCAGGAGCTGAGCTGGATCCTGCGGGCGCCCCGCACCGTGATCCCGGTGTGTGGTTCTACGGAGAGGAAAGGGTGAACAAGGGCTGTGGGCAATCTGTGCTGAGAAACCAGAGGCAGATTGCACATCTAACTAATGCCAATGGCAGCTCCTGACCACCAGGCCATGCAACCCACCGACGTCGAGGTGCAGCTTGTGGCGCGCAGGGTCGCACTTGAGGCCCACCACCCCCGCCGCCAGCGCCGGGTCGGCACCGCAGTAGTGTGGCATGGAGAGGAAGAGGGGCGGCCCCGTCTTTCCTGCCTGTCCCAGCGGCCCTGTGGGGATTATGGGGGAAGAGGAGGGTTGGAAACCACGGCTGGGGCAGATGCCGGAGCATCCCTGAGAGTGCATCATTCCTCCCCACGCAGTCAAATGACCCCAGAAGACACGCTTGCCCACCCCTCCAGCAACCCGCTGCCTGCCTGATGCCATGGGCCCGGTGATGTTCATCAGGCCCTGGATGTACTGGAAGTAGGTCGGGTTGATGTCGCCCTGGTGGGGGTCTGTGCGCAGCCGGATCAGGGGGACCCCGTGCAGACTCGTCTGCGGTGCGTGTGGAGTGGCGGGGAA